ACATGTTTTACCCAATAAAATTTTTAAAAACATTTATTTCATAGAAACAGAAATCAGGACTGTGAAGTAATGGTAGAGGCACATACATATATACAATTAAACATAATAGAGAACCCAGAAATGTTGTTATGTGTTATTGCATTGATTACAACTCATAGGGACCCTATGAACAATAGCTCTAAACTCTTCCCCATTTTGAGACAATTTCATTGCCTTTGACAGACCTGTACCATTCTGTCAATCCATTTCATCCAGGGTCTTCCTCCCCTGCGATGATCTACTCTTCCAAGCATGATGTCCTTCTCCAAAAACTGGACCCTCCTGGCATCATGCCCAGAGTATATGAGATGGAGCTTTACAATTCTTGCCTCCAAGGAGCAGCTTGGTTTTTTCCTCTCCAGGACAGATTTGTTTGTTCTCCTGGAGGTCCACGGTATGTTCTTCTATTATCCTTTGTGGTTTTCCATCTTGCTTATGTATGGCAAGTAACCTTCCAAAAGAAGACACATAGTGATATCAGTAACCCTTAAGCAAAAACTGGACCTCAATGTAAACAACTTTATATACAAATGAGTGGGAAATAGATTACAGATTTAAATTGTGAAATGCATAAGAGAAAATATTGGTGGATTGGACTTTATCACTCTTCAAATCTTCCTCTGGGAAATAACATGTTGAGAAGAAAAAGAGACAAAGTATGGACTAGCAAAAAATATTTTTAACTACATATCTGATCAAAACTTCTGGCTAGAATATATAAAACACTTAAAACAAAACTGGAAAAATAACAATTAAAAATGAGCCAAGCACAGGTAGACACATTTTAGTGGGGGAATAAAAGCCTGTTCTTTAGAGAAACAAAACCAGTGAAGTTTATTTAAGTTTATATAGATGAAACCAGAGTGCTCCTTGGAGGCAGTGATAATAAACCTTCATCTCACATACTCTGGGCATGTTGCTAGTAGAGAATATTCATGTTTGTGAAGGTGGATGGACAGCTAAAGAGAAAAAGACTTTCAACCAGGTGGATTGATACAATGAGGGCAGCAATGGACTGAATTGTGTCAGAGATTGTGAGGATGACATAAGATATGACAAGGTTCAGATCTGTTACTCCTATTAAGATTGTTATGAGTTCTACTTGACTTGATGGCACCTAACAACAACAACAACTAGATTTATAGGGAGTTTTGGTAGCCTAGTGATAAGTAGCTGTGCTGCAAACTCCAAGGCACACTGTTCAAATCTGCAAGCTGCTCTGTGGGAGAAGGATGAGCAATCTGCTCCCATGTGATTATGTACTATGAAAACTCTTTGGAGAGTCATCTATTAGTAGATTCCAACTTGCTTTCTCACAGCAATAACTGGTAGCTTGATGGTAAGGCATTGCACTGCCAATACAAAGACAACAGGGTTCAAACCACCACAGCTAGGCAAGGCAGTCTTCCAGGTCATTTGCAGCTTCTGAAAACCCATTGAAGGGTCAGATATGAGTCAGCTCTCATTCAGCAGCATTCAGTGAAGCATACTGATGTACTCCAAGATAATTGGCTTATACAATTAGAGGAGTTGGCAAATTTCAAATCTACTGATAATAAGCTCATGACTCTTGCTGGTTCATGTGATTGTTGTTATTGTTGTTATTGTTGTTAGGTGGCTTCAACATGACTTTGACTTATAGTCACTCTATGACAGCAGATCTAAATATCTGTTCCTGCATTAACTTCATCATCTGACAACTTCAACCACTTGTAGTCAATGTGTCAACCGTCTCATTGAGAGTGTTCCTCTCTTTCACGGATCTTCTACACAAGCATTTCTTTCTCTATGAACTGGATCCTTTTGACAAACATGACAAAAGTATGTGAGAAGAAGCTTCATCATCCTTTCCAGATTGCTTTTCCTTTAAGACTGATTAATTTGTTCTTTTGGAATTCTCAGGAATCATCAATAATCTTTACCAATATCAGAATGCAAAGTGTTTGTAGACGTGGCAAACCTAAACCTTCAAGTCAGGCAAGAGGTGGAAAGTCCCGGGAGGAGTTTTCATGCAGAGAAGATTGTAGGATCTGAAGGAGAGTCAACTTTGCCCCAACATTTGCTTGTATTATGGATGCCGGCCAGGACCCCAAAACATTCTTCTACCAACTGGAAAGTGCTCATAATCAGAAAACAAAATTGAAGGTACTACATATAGTCTATCAAACCACTGAAAACTACAGTCTAGTCAAGTTCACATATAGCATTACTATAGTATCCAGCTAGAAGACAGTTTTTAAATTTCTAAACAGTAAAGAAAGGTGAAACTTTTTAAGATCTGGCAATTGCACCCCAATACAATTTCAGAGAATTAAAGTTATATTTACAAATATGCATATGCTGATGTATATAGAATACTCACAACAGCTTTTTTTTTCTTACAACTAGAAAAAAATTGAAAATAACTCTTTTGTGTTTTCAATGAAAAAAGGGACTGATCCATTCAAATCAAAGAATACTAATCAACGGTAACAAGTAATAAACTGATTTATGCAACTACTTGGATAAATTATTCTAGGGAAAATAAAGTTGTGCATTGCTAGATTCCTTATGCATAGAATTTTGAAATAAAAAAAATAGGTATGAAGGGGGAAAAGTGTTTCTGTTAAGAAGAGAGAAGAAAAAAATGGATACAATTTCAAAAGGGAAATAAATATGAAAGATGCTTTTGATAGTAGGAGTATCTACCTTTTCTATACTAATATCCTATCTATGATAGTGTATAATTTTTAAAATGTTGATATTTGGGAATTGGATAACACAATTTTTTTTATGTATAACGACCCTATGTACAATAGCTCTGAACCCTTCCGTGTCCTGAGCCAGTCTCACTAATTCTGATCCATCAACCCCCATCGCCCCAGTTGCTGTATCAATCCATCTCATCCAGGATCTCCCTCTCCTGCATTGTCCCTCCACCCTACCAAGTATGATTTCATTCTCCAAGGACCTATCACTCCTGCCGCATAACCAAGTAAGTGAGGTGGAGCTTCACAATTCTAGCCTCCAAGGAAAGACTTGGCTTCACCCTCTCCAAGACAGACCAATTTGTTTTCTTGGCAGTCCATGTTATGTTCAAGACTCTTGTTCAGCACCACAACTAGAAGACAGTCTTCTTATGTCATCCTTAGCTATTGTCCAAGTCTTTGAAGCATAATGAGCAATTGAGAAGACCATGGCCTGGATTAGGTGCACTTTTGTACCTAGACTGACATCTTTGTTTTTCAGCACTCTGGAAAGGTCCATGACAGCAGATTTTCCCAATGCAATTCGTCTTTTGATTTCCTGACTGCTGGTGTTAAGAGTGTTGATTGTGGATCCGAGGAAGCTATAATTGTTAACAACCTCCATCTCTTCTCCATCTATTATGGTGCTGCCAATTGGCCCAGTGATGAGAATCTTTGTCTTCTTGATGTTAGACTTCAATCCATATTAAAGACTACAATCCTTGACCTTTTGCAGCAAGTGCTTCCATTATTCTTCTTCAGTTTCAACAAGCAAAGTTGTGTCATCTGCATGTCATAAGTTGTTAATGAGTCTTCCTCAATCCGATGCCATACTCCTCCTCATAAAGCCCTGCTTTCTGAATGATCTTTTCTGCATACAAATTGAAAAGGCACATGAAAGGGATGCATCCCTGATGCACTTCTTTTCTGATGTTGAACCATGCAGTGTTTCCTTGCTCTGTTCTGAGGACTGCTTCCTGGTCCAAGTAGAGGTTTTGTATAAGCATGATCAAGTGCTCTGAGATTCCCATTTTCCTCAAGGTTAGCCACAAGGATTTCTATTTTTTCTTCATTCTCACAACTGACACAATCAGGATTCAGAGTTGTTTTTCACCTTATTGAAATTACATAGGATAAAATAATTGCTCAATTTTTTTTTCATTTAATGATAAGTTTTATTTGTGTGTTTAGACCATGCTGAAACACTTCTTTTCCTGTTTCTAGAACACCAAAGTTGCATCAAATAATTATGCATATGTCAAAAGCCCTGGTGGTACTAAACTGCTAACAAAAAGCATTTACCAAGGAAGAAAAAGAATATAACCTTCAGTGAATTGTATGCCAATAAAAAGCAAATAAAAATATTTATTCTTGGCCAATAATGTCATAATAAATGGAAAAGCACCAAAAAATTTCCAGAGTTTAATTTTACCAGGATTCACAATCAACATCCATATAGCCGAAGTCAAGAAATCAAATAATTTATTATATTAGGTATATTTGCTGCAAAAGATTTCTTTTAAAGTGTTAAAAAGCAAAGATCTCACTTGGAATACTACAGTACACCCAACTTACATAATGGAAATTTCAATTGTGCTTGCAAAAGCTGAACAATAAAGAAGATCTAAGAATTGACACCTTTATATTGTAATATTGGTGAAGAATATTGAATATTCTATTGATATTAGAAGATCAAACAAATTGGTTTTGGAAGTTCAGTGAGACTGCTCCATAGAAAGAGCATGGTAATTGTTCATTTCATGCCCGAGCATGTTATAAACTACAAATAATGATGTCAATTTAAAGACTAAGGTGCGCCTGATTCAGTCACAGTCTTTCTAATCACTTTCTATGCATTCTGAGAGATGGACAATGAACAAAGAAGACAAGAAAAGAATAGAAGCATTTGACTTGTGGTTCTGGAGAAGAGTACTGAATATCCCAGGAACAGCCAAAAGAACCAACAGATATGTCTCAGAGAAAGAGTAATTAGAGTATACCATTAAGGTAAGGTTGGCAAACTTCTAGCTTATTTTGTGCATATTAATAAGAGAAACTGTGGAGGGTGAGTGAAGGAGAGGAAGAGCTTTAACTAGATTTATTGATATTGCATCTACAGTAATGGGCTCAAATGTGTTGGGGATAATAAACTTGTTGCAAGATAGGACAAGTTTCAGACTGTAGTTCATACAGTCATTATTAGTTATATTTGACTTGATAGAACTTAACAACAATGTCATGAAAAGGCATCATGCTTGTGAGAGAGTCAGTGAAAAGAAAGAATTTAATTGAGATGAATTACAACATTGGCCACCACAATGGACTCAAACACAGTGAGAATGAGAGAATGACACAGATTAGGCAGTGTTTATATATAAAGGCATTTGACTGTGTGGCTCATAACAAACTGTGGCTGACTCTGAGAAGAATGGGAATCCCAGAACATTTAATTGTGCTAATACGAAACCTATACTTGGACCAAGAGGCAGTAGTCAGAACAGAGCAGGGTAACACTGCATGGTTCAAAATTGGGAAGGGTGTACGCCAGGGATGCATCCTGTCTCCATACCTTTTCAACTTGTATGCAGAGCAGATTATCTGAGAGGCTGGGCTCTATGAGGAGAATTGTGGCATCAGGATTGGTGGAAGATCTATTAACAATCTCCATTATGCAGATGACACAAGCTTGCTTGCTGAAACTGAGGAGGACCTCATGCACTTGCTGCGAAGGGTCAAGGACTGCAGCCTTCAGTATGGACTAAGGCTCAACGTCAAGAAGACAAAGATTCTCGCCACTGGACCAATTGGCAGCGTCAAGATGGATGACGAAGAGATTGAGATTGTTCACAGCTTCACATTGCTCGGCTCCACAGTCAACACTCTTGGTACCAGCAGTCAGGAAATCAAAAAGCGTATCGCGATGGGAAAGTCTGCTGTTAGGGACCTCTCAAAGGTACTCAGGAGCAACAGTGTCTCTCTGGAGACTAAGGTGCGCCTGATACAGGTCATGGTATTTGCAATCGCTTGTTATGCATCAGAGAGTTGGACAATGACTAGGGAGGACAGAAGGAGAGTGGATGCTTTTGAGCTGTGGTGCTGGAGAAGGGTACTGAATGTACCATGGACTGCCAGAAAAACAAACAGATTCATCTTGGAGAGGATTAAACCAAGCTGCTCCTTGGAGGCAAGGATTCTGGGGTTTCATCTGACATACTTTGGACATGTTGCCAGGAGGGACGGGTCCTTGGAGAGGGACATCATGCTTGGGAGGGTGGAGGGACAGCGCAGGAGGGGAAGACCCTCTATGAGATGGATTGATTCGATGACTGGGGTAATCGGGATGGGTGTGTCAGAGGCGGTGTGGTTGGCGCAGGATAGAGCAGGGTTTAGAGCTACTATATATATATATAGTAACAAGGACCTTGAGGACATCTAACAGAAAGAAATAGTTAGACAGTAATAATAATGAGTTATTTTTATTCTAGTTGACATTTGCTAAGTACTTACTAGATACTTCGCCTCAGTTGGAAGTACTCAATCCTATGAAGGAGGTATAATTATTTTTTTTTTCATCTTTACAGATCCTGAGTATCAAAAGAGGGTGGGAAACTAACATTCAAGTGCTCATTTTTCTCATGAGGATACAGAGCTCTTAAGCTATAAAGTACTGTTTCAGAGAAAACTCCCTAGTGGTGAAGTAAAATAAATAAATTCACACAGATTAGATACAAAATTGAAAAAACTTACAGATAAGATACCTCAGTCAAGTCTTTCCCAGGAATCAGGACTTCTTCAAGTCTCTGTAAAACTCTTTGTTGTTGAACATTAAAGACAGCACATTATTTTTTCACAACATATAATGGGACTTACTGGGAACTTGAGTAGGTTGAGTTAGTGCCCTTTACAATACAATTACTAAGGGTGTGACATTCATTCCAACTCATGATCTTGTGATCTTATATGAGCGAGTAGAAAGCCCCATAGAGTATCCTAGCCTATAATTTTCAGGGAAGATCACCAGATTTTTATCCCAGATTGGTTCAAACCTCTAAGTTTTTATGCAACAGCTGAACATTTAGCCTTTATGCCTTTTAAATATTAAAACCTGGAATGGGATTTGAGATATTTACAATGGAATGTATAATCACCCTGACAAAATAAGTCCAGAATTGCCTTATTGTGCTGATAAAATAGCCTTCAAAAATGTTTCATGCACCTATTTTCCCCCCTTTTCTTCTGGTCTAGACCTTTTCAGTGTATCAAAGCCACTATAAGTTTTCCCACCCTTTCCTACCAACAATGGTCTCAATTTTACTCCAAAGCATCAATGTCTGTAATAAGCTCTCCAAGACTCACTGCTGCAAAATAGCATCTCTAATTCTTCTGTATTCCAGTAATCAGCTGATCCACTGCTCAGATGTGACATTTTCATGCTCAATAGGGACGCTGAATAGGAAAACTCCCCACACCCTCTCCTCCTCTTGATCCCACTAGGACAGAGGTTGCAAAGTTCTATTGCCTTGGGTTTCCAAAATCTTTTAGTGGTTCTAATGAAAGAGCTCTTTCAGCTTTTAGTCAATCTTTGTAATCGTCCCCCTTCCCTGGGAGTGAGGCATGTGGCCAACAGAGCCATAGGACAATGTCAGTGACCAACACTCAAACCAATGCAAGATTCAAAATTTCCCCTTGCCTCTAACACTGATCCATTGTTATTGGAACACATTTGGATATCTCATGGGAGTTATTTTTCTCCGTATTATATATGTCAGTTTAAAGATAAAGGACACTGAAGCTGTATTTTGGTGGAAAGACTGTGGCTTAAATTTGAGGTTAAGAGAAATTGTGTCCAATATGACAGATGATTTGAGTGAAAGCTAAGCATCTCATGGGTAAAGTAAATTTGAACCAAAACCACAGGTTCTTAAACACATATTTATTTATGGAACTTCTATCACATTGCTATGGCAGATTTTAATATCTAAAACACTTATAAACACATATTGGCAGTATTTTTCTAATTTTTCATTTCTTATTAATCTCCACTAACTACTATATTCTATTTTGGGTTTTCCCAGTGTGAAGGATTAGAATAAGTAAGAGAATATACCATTTAATGGAACATTATGGTGCACTAAGAATCCCACACATTGTTATATCTAATTTTTATGTTGTTTCTATGTACAATGGATTTTCTAGGGGGTTTTAAGAGACAAGTAGTTGCATGGGGGGAGATTGTCCATCATTCTCCTGCAGAAAGCTGGTGAATTTGAACTATGTGCCTTTGGGATTGCAGCAGAGCTTCCTACCACTAGACCACCAGAACACTAATTTTTATAGAAGCCCTCTTATATATATGAAAAACGAAATCCTGTGATATTAGAAACCTTAAGAATTGGCTTTCCTGGCATTGAATGATCTCCAGCTACCTTGACTGTGGACACATGATCTTACAAATCATTAACAGCTGTAGAACCAATATAAGAGAGTTCTTTCCACATTGTGAGAGAAGGTGGTGGAGAGAGAGTGAAAAGACTGTGGTAAGGCGTAACCAGAGGAAGCCTAGAAATAAAAGCCATGGTTAAAGATCTTGCTTGCTGGTGATTAAAGTTAAAGCTGACCTATATCTGCTCTGAAGTACATTTTGTTGTATAATTGAGAAAATCAGAGGCTTTTTGCCTTTATGCAATTGAACTGAACCTGGACTTTCAATAACTGAGGGATTGTGCCTTGTTATTTTGTCTTAGGACTGCTTTGGATGATATTCTTTACCCCCTCACACTCCCAACCTATTTCCTTAATAAACTCTACAACAGTGAGTAATGTTTTTGAGTCCCTGTGCAACAAAGATTGGATCCAATGATTGGTCTAGGTGCAGGAACATATGAGATGGCATACCTGACTAGGTATTTTCTAGTACTATGATGTTATTGATCGGGGACAGTGGATAGAAGTCAGACTCAGCCACTCTACACTGCATTTACTCCTTACACGTTTGGTTTCAGAGGTGGTAAATTCTTTCCTTCAGACTCATAGAAACACAGTTTAATTTTGTTAATGTGGGGCTGGGCAATATATGCAGTTACTGTTTGCTCTGGGAGAGGGGAAGAGATTCAAAAGTTACTTTTGCTGCTATTAAGATGCAAAGACATGTAGAGAAGCCACTTATGTCCAGAGACAAAAGGGTAGAGGACTGAGATGAAATGGAGAATTATTTGAATGTCTACATATGAAGTTCCCCCCCTTCTATGTTATAATGTTGAGATATATTGTAAAAATAAATATAAGGGATATGTTATGTTTTTTCTTTAACTATACTGGATCTTGTTTGTTGTTATTGTTATGTTCTGTAGAATCGCCTGCGACTCATAGTGGCCCTATTTACAACAGCCTTAAACTCTGCTCTGTTCCTTGCCAATCTAATTATCTCTGACACACCTATCCTCATTACAGCACTGACTGAATCAATCCATCTCATTGAAGGTCTTCCTTTCTTGCGCTGTCCCTCCACCCTCACAATCATGACATCCCTCACCAAGGACTGATCTTGTCTTGCAACAGGTCCAAAGTATGATGTATGACAGACGAAGCTTCAGAATACTTGCCTCCAAGGAGCAGCCTGGCTTCACACTCTCCAGGACAAACTTGTTTGTTCTCCTAGCAGTCCATCATGGTATATTCAATACTCTTTTTCAGCACCACAGCTCAAAGGCATTAAATCTCCTTCTATCATCCCTAGTAATTGTTCAGCTTTCTCATGCATAACAAGTAATTGCAAAGACCATCGCCTGTATCAGGTGTACTTTAGTCTCCAGACCGACATTGTTGCTCTTCAGTACTTTGGAGAGGTTTCTGACAGCAGACTTTCCCAATGCAACTTGCCTTTTAATTTCCTGGCTGTTGGTACCAAGAGTGTTGATTGTAGAGGCAAGCAAACTGAGGCTGTCAACAATTTCAATCTCTTCATCATCTATCATGATGCTGCCAATCAGCCCAGTGGTGAGAATATTTTCTTGATGTTGCGCTTCAATCTATATTGAAGGCTGCAGTCCTCGACCCTCTGCAGCAAGAACTTCAGGTGTCCCTCAGTTACAGCAAGTAGGGTTGTGTCATCTGTATAATGCAGATTATTTATGAGTCTACCTAAAATCCTGATGCCACACTTCTCCTCAATAGAACCCAGCCTCCCAGGTAATCTGTTTCACATATAGATTGAAAAGATAGGGAGATAGGACACGTCCTTGATGCATACCCTTCCCAATTTTGAACCATGCAGTGTTTCCTTGCTCTGTTCTGATGACTACTTTTTGGTCCAAATACAGTTTTAATTTAAGCACAATCAAGTGTTCTGAGAATCCTATTCTTCTCAGAGTCAGCCATACTTTGTTGTGATCCACACATTCAAATGCCTTCACATAATCAATGAAATAAAGATAGGCATTCATCTGGTACTCCCTGCTTCCAGCCAAGATACATCTGACATTCCCTATAATATTTTATTATGTCAAAATTGCAATGTTAGCTTAAACGTTGACCTTTCTTAGCCATGACAATTAGTCCCCTCTCTTCTCCAACTACCTTAATTGCAGGCTTGTGCAGGCAAATTACCAATAATTGTGGGACTAAGATAAGACAGAGAGTGCTTCCCACAGTGGAGAAAAAGACTTGTGACAGTAAGACTTGAGGGAAACTAGAGCAAGACTCTATTGAGAGTGAGACCCTGGTGATGAGATCCTAGTGACGGTAATGTAGAAACTGTGGAAATGTGTGACCTGAAGCTTCTTGGCCACAGTTAAGGTTTTTCTGTTATTGCCTTTGACGATAGAAGGAAAAGCTTAACTGAAATTGAAGCCTGGACTAACAAATCGTGTGTTGGGACTATAAAGCTAAGATTTGTATTGTGAGATATTCTTTCCCTCCCTTACTTTCTAACTTACTTCCTCAATAACTCCCATTCTTAGTATCACACTGTGAGTCTGTGAGTCAACAACTAATAAACGAACATATAGCTGTTTCTGTGGCTCTAGAGGTACCACGGCCTGGGATATGGCTATTTATCTGTTTTTAGCTCTGGGTTGATGAGAGACTATGCTATTCTCATTCCCTCTAGTCCTTTCAGAGAGATGTTCAAAGCCCTTTTCCATCATGTATCATTTTCTGCTCACTCGACATTTGGTGTCAGAAGGAGTGGGATTTGTCATTTCAGACTTACACACTCAAAATTTAGTTTTATAAATGTGGGACTTGGGAAACAGTATGGTTAAAATGGCTATTGTTTATTTCTATAAAGTAAGAGGCAATTTTAAAAGTTGCTTTTGTTTTAGTAAGGTGAGAAGAAAAGTTGAAAAACTAGTCTTTGCCCTGAGACAATAGTACATGAAGAGGAATCTGAGAATTTCTTTAAAAGTCTATGTATGATGCTTTTTTATCCCCCTGTTATATTTTATAATGTTATATTGAGATATATAGGAAAAATGATTAAGGTATTTTTACATTTAATGCTAAGATATAGTAAAAGAAAAATTAAGGGTTTTGAGAGGCCATATTGTAATTATAGGGAAAATGTAAACCAGTTGGATAATAATTGGATATTCCAAAAAGGGGAAATTTGTCCTAAAATAATACTTACGTAGTAAAATTTGGTTTAATGTGTGCAGGGTAGCCTAAGAAAGATTAAGCCCCACCTAGTACTTGAGGGAAGTTACATTTGAAAGCAGACAAGCAAAAAAAAAAGAAAGACTTTTGCAATGAAACTAAGGCTAATGCTTAACTCATGTTGACCACCTGAATCTACTTGAAGAGAGGAGGGAGAAAGTACCAGAATTGTTTTTCCAGGAATTTATAATTAAAGGAAGCTGACAACTATGCTCAGCTTACAGTGACCACCACCTGGGTCCTCTTGGTGAGTAGAAGTGGGATATACATGATAAAGAAGAGATAGACTGATATTGCGCTTGTTCCCTCAGGATGGTCCATCTAGCATGGTGAATGAATAAAAAAATAAGGACGACTGGTTCAAGGAGTCCTGAGAATCCCTAATGTGCTGACTTGGTTTATTTGGTTCTAAGTAGAGTAGGGGGACTAACCGGCCTGAAATAGTAAGAAGAATTCGGCACAGATGTAGATCTTACAGTAAAAAAAAAAAAATTAACAAAATCAAGCCCTACCCAGTACTCTAAGGAGAATTACATTTAAAAGAAGAAAAGTAGGAGTCGCCGCTGGAGCTGGACTGCACCCGCCGCGGCGTCTCCATGGCACGACCCTGGCCTCCGACTTCAACGACTTCATAAGGAGGCGTTTCTGGGCTCAGCCCTGTCGCTCCTGGTTTCCATCGTGTGGGAAGAACGGAGTAACAAGTCTCAC